TCCAACCGCTGGATCGCATGCTCAACAAGCAGATGAAGCGGCTGCTGCGGGGCATGTACACGGCACACACGGCAAAGGCGGCCAGGGACCCCAAGCCGGGCAAGCTGGTACCGCCGGGGCGTGGGGCCGTCGCTACTTGGTGCAAGAACGCGTGGGCATCCATCACCCCCGAGATTGTCAAGACTTGCTTCAAGATCTGCGGCCTCACGCTCGCGCTCGACGGCAGCGAAGACCACGCCTGGTGCCTGCACAACTTCGGGGACGGCTACCGCGAGCTCCTGGAGCAGCAGCGCGTCGAATGGCTTGCGGAACACCCCAACGTAACTCTGCCGCCGCTCCAACTTCCGAAGGTACCAGCCGAATCAACCGCCAATCATATCGAGGCTGCAGCAAAGGAGCTCGAGGCGGGGCTTTTGCCTCGCGGCGACGACAGCGACATCGAGATTGAGGATGACGACAGCGATGTAGAAGTCGTGGAAGGGGCGGGGGATGAAGAAGTGATCGAGCTGTAAAATACCGCCATCACGTGGGAGTACCAGTACAGTAGTGGTTTGGTTTGCAACATGTTGGTAGCAGACTGGCGCTAGAACTCTGTGATGCAGAGGACAGCGGCTTCTAGAGAGGGTTTTTTGTTTGGTGTTACATACGAACGTGGAACAATACTTACAACGCGGTCCACGAGCATGTGCAAGTAAAGATTTCCAGAATACGTTTGTGGAGATCGCTACTTTCTGCCGGTTTTTTGCACGAGTCCTAGGTGATAGAGTTTGTTGCTGTGGTTTCGATAAAAAACAAATAAAAATGATCACACGCTAAAAGCAAATATATTTTCAAGTCCGGCGGGTACCGTATTACAAAAAATGATTTGCGCAGAGGTACATCAGCACCGCACGGCGCCGAAGTTGATTCTTCATCAAGCACGCCCCTACTTCTAGCGCACAACAGGACTGGACACCGCTCTTGGAAGCGCCCAACCTCATTGCTGGGATCGGGGGAGTGCGGAGACCCCGATCCCTGTGCGATAATCGAATTAAATCATGTGGAACCCGCTTCTTGTTCCGCACCTCTGTGCCACGACCCCGACCCGTGCGGAGACGCCGATCCGTGCGAAGACCCCGATTCTTACGGTAGCCGGTAAGGACCACGGCCGCTGCTGGAAGGCGGCTGGTNGGACTGGACACCGCTCTTGGAAGCGCCCAACCTCATTGCTGGGATCGGGGGAGTGCGGAGACCCCGATCCCTGTGCGATAATCGAATTAAATCATGTGGAACCCGCTTCTTGTTCCGCACCTCTGTGCCACGACCCCGACCCGTGCGGAGACGCCGATCCGTGCGAAGACCCCGATTCTTACGGTAGCCGGTAAGGACCACGGCCGCTGCTGGAAGGCGGCTGGGCCAGCAGATCGGGAGCGAACCCTGTTGGACCAGCCGGAGTGGGCCCGGGCATAGGACCGGGGAAGCGAGGGGGTTAAACCCTCCAGGTGCGATACCCGTCATTCGAGGAAATGGAGAATTCCTCGACGGCTACTACAGCAGTAGCCGCATGAAGAGGGTGACAGTCAATGCCCCGCTTCTAGAC